ACCCCCGAGCTCCTGTACACCAGGCGAGGTAGTTAACATTTTACCACCGTGGTGCCCACAAGCGTGCAACTCCCCAGCGCCATATGCCCCCCATCAAACCCGCGTGGACGAAGCCGCTTGGCCATAATCACGAGCACCTCGCGTTCAAGTCGCCTGCAGTGGGTGAGACTCGCCACGGCGATCTCTGGCATTCGTCTTTCACTTTGCGCTGAGCAGTCTCCCTTTTCAGGCGAATCAAAGGGCCTCAAAACCCGCCAATTGAATCGGCGCACTGCAGCACACTTTAATCACGTTAATCACCTCTACTAGTCAATTGGCTCAGGATTATAAATGGTATAATACTCCTCTGATCTCCTATTTCCAAATTTACATCCTATTTTCAGATGTTAGATTAAAAAGAACTTTATATCTTTTTTACTGTTAACTTTTACGAATAATTATTTGTTCAAGGCACCGGCAGAGATCACGAGCGTCCACTCGAATTTCCAGCCTGTGAGCAATGTATTGTTTTATTTATCTACTTAGACCTTTGTTTCCCTCCCACGGTAAATTAAGTGACAATTGTAAAGTAAAGCTGCCCGTGTGAACGCGGTTTTTACGTGAGCACTTTGATTCATGATTTCGGACTGCGCGGGGCAAGGGGGGGCTTCACGCCGCCGCCACCCCTGTGTGAGATGCACCCCACTTAATGAAACCTCTTGATCATTCTAACGCACGTGAGAGAGAAGGGTGGCCCTGGCACAAATAGTGCAACGCCTCTGCCAGCCTGTGCCAGCCGCGCATTATTGAGGTATTAAGAAATAAGTGCCTTGGGCATCATTATCCGTGGCCCGGTCTCGAGGTAGCTGTTGCAGAGGAGCGGTCCGCCCACTTTTAAACCGGCGCAGCCTATCGCACGCGCGTTGCTGGAGCGATGAAACCCGTGTCGTTAGGGTAAGAGACTCACCGCTATTGGCTGGGAGGTTGGTGGTGGCGGTGATATGGGCTTGGGTCGGGCCTTGTTTGTGACAGTGATTTGAGCTGGCAATGTGAATGCAGTATTAGGATTAAAGGTAGTGTTTTTTTTAGTACTTGGAGACTGATTATTGCCATTTGATAGATTTTTTTTTCTTTCTCAGCAGCATTATTTAATCAGGTCCGAGTTTTAATCTTTGCCAAAATTCTACTCCCAAACTAGTTGATCGGTTTGTTGATTTTGATGAGCCGAATTTGGGTGTGTGTCTTGCGGTCCTCTGTGCTTAACTCTTATATCTGAAATGAAAATCTACACTCTGTCGTGGAATACAACACAGGACATAAACATGCCTCGTGTGTTTGTTGTTTATACTGTGCTCACAACCCTGGACGCAGCTGATATGTACCCGTTTTCTTTTGTAATCTATATAGACCCCCCTTGGCCTGGTTGAAACCAAACATGTAATTGTTTTCTAATTCAATTATAAAAAGTACATTAAAGAAAACCAACACACCAGCACTATTGACAAAGATGCCCTGAAAGTAGTTTTTATTTACGCTTAAAGATTTACTGCCACAATCCTCCGGAAGGGTATTATTTGGTTGCGCCATCCGTTGGCACGATGTCCGACGTTTCGCTTCACTTGCAGGGAGCCTCTTCAGAAGGAATAAGCGTGACTTGATATATAAGATAAACACGGGGAGGTGGGGGGGGGAGTTGGTGGTGCATCGATTCACAGATTACCACTTCTCTTGTGTCCATGAGAAGACGTCAACTAAGCGGCCCGCTACCAGCGCGTAGTCTGAAACGTCGTACGCTGCACGGTGTTCCGAACGACACACCACGATGCGACCCAAAAGGCGGCAGGCGCGCACGAGAGGGCTCTCCTCCGCCCCAGCACAACGCGCGACAAACCCACGCGGTCGTAACAGCTCGCAAATGCAGATGAACGAAACGTAATAAAAATACGAATTGCATCCGTTCATCGCGAATGTTGTGAATGGGAGATTAGCGGCGAACTCATAAAGCACGGCAGTGGTTTAATAAGCAAATAGTAGCAGGACGCGTTCTCACCAGTTCTCACCGGCTCGGTCGGTTGGCAGGGTTTAACGCGTGTGAGTAAGCACATTTTTAATCTTTAAATTACAATTACGCAAATGATGAATAAGTCACAATTCTGGAATGTTTAGTCACCGGGGTGGTGGCGGCTTTTGTGAGTTAAAGTTTGTGTATTTGTACACTTCTATTTCTGGCCTGCCTGAATAATTGCTCTGCTTCACAAACGTGCAATGGAAAATAAATTAAATGTGTTAATTTTCTCCACCAGCCAGGGCGTCGTGCTTCTGCTGCTGTGTTTTGCGTGACTTCTTCTCTCTGTGTGTACATCAATGACACAGGTTCCCCAAATAGCCTCGAACAGACTTGGGTGAAGTGTTGTTCGCGAGCACCTATTAAGGCCGGCACGGCACACGAAAGGCGGACAGCACCACGCCCGGCCTCCTTAGCCTCCCGAGTGCTGATGTTTACACACCGCACCAGATACTCATTTAATGCTGAGTTGACCTAGGGGAGGCCCAGGACCAGTTGAGATATTCGTCACTGATGTTGACCGTGAGCGGGGAATATTGAACTCGGGTTCGCCGGGTTTGTAGGGCAGTGTGCTAACTGCTGCGCCACCGCTCCCCCCCCCACCCGCCCCCAACACACACAGACGGAAAACCACAAAAACCACGTTCTGCAAATTGTGTAGCTAAAGCAGCAGCAGCAGCAGTCCAATCGACCCCTAGGCGAGACGTAATTACAATGAGGGATACGAAGCCGTTGACAGTTACAGTGAGTTTCAAACGGAAGTGACCTGAAACGGACGACTTCAATGTGGTACAAAGCGTATCTCCGAACGCCTCGGTGTTTGCCGCTCGAATGTTGTGTTCCGAGCTGTTGCACATGTTTTTCCGACGTTTCGCTGCACGTGTCTGGAGTGGGCCGTCGGAGCGTCGTGCCCAACATCGCGCGGTGCAATCGGAAAACGCTGCACGACTGTGACCACCTCCGCGGTATCTCGGGGGGTACCCTTGGCAAATGTAATATCGAGTGCGTTGCTTCACCGTTGCTCTTGTTCAGAAAAGCAATCAATCCCATTTAAAGCCATTCCAATCTCCGTTTGCGTAAAACTATGACGGTTCAGATTCTCAACATATTCATTTGTAATTGGGATCTTTCAACGTTTTTTGTCAATTTTTTTTTTGGTGAACCCAGGTCACTCTTGCAAATGAGACTCATAGCCTGGCCTCTTCAGTTTCTTCACCTGGTGAAGCAACCTGGACACGTGCGACACTACGGGAGGCACAGGAGCTCCCCACGGGGTGTCTCGCCCCCGCGACGAACGACTGCACGGGGCCAAAAGCGAATCGCAGTCAGAAATTAGAATTCCAGAAATTGCGGCGCTATCATCATAATCGCGTTCAACCAAAACACGGTTACGTGCCCGGATTGCTTAGCGACGTGCACGTTTAGAACACAACGCGGCGGCGCTTCGCAGATTACGATTTATGTAAAGCCCCCCCCAACTCCCTCTCCGCCCCCATCGACTTCGCCCTGCCCCCCCCCCCTCACTGTGTTTATCCTTCCTGTCATGCATCTCCTGTGCAGGGGCTGCTCGGTTACGAATTAAACGCGCTCTCGTTTAATTGCTGTGGGACGGGTCACGGCGTATCACGAGTGCGGTAATTAATTTTACTGAGCCCGAGCTCACGACCTGAGATAAGGCGCCGGCAAGGCATCATGGGACCTTGAAAGGTGCCTTTGGCCTGACGTCACTCACGGCAACAAATTTGAGAGTACAGGTTTTTAAAAAAATATATATCGGTTCGGAGATTGGGGAGAAAAATATGAAGATGTATTTGCCTTTACTGCCTTGGCCTATTTTGTAACGTTCTTCTTTGAGTCTGAAGATCCACGTGGCCCACGCCTCCCTGGAAAAATGAATGTGCGTCTCCCCAGAGAGGTGGCAGCGGCGGCTTAGGGGAGGGCCCGCATCCAGCAGTGGATTTGTAATGATGACAATGATCTCACGAAGTTTCAAACGGATTAACTCAAATGCTCTTTGCAGCTCTCGTCAATTGTTCACACTCATTCTTCCCGATTGTTTTAAATGCGTTGCAGAAGAAAAAATAATAATTGTCACACATTGCCGATCCACCGCTGGATGAAGGCCCCCCTTTGCCGTGTCGATCAAGGGGGTTGTCTGACCCTGCGGCAACAAGATGCCGGCCAGTCCCGGTTCTATAATTATGCGCCACTGGTGTCAGCCGCGGCCGGCAAATAAAATAAAGTCACCGGGTTTATCGCCAAATGCGTGAATCACTGCTCCACCGCTCAACCGACACATCCTTCATTCGCTTGAAATGTTCGGCGTTTAAACAACTCGTCGCTTGGTCAATTAAAACAGATTCTTACGCTCACAATACACGTTCTGCACGCAAGATAATCATTTCGTTTCGATCCGTGTATGTTGTATGATGAGTATGTAATTGGTTTATGTGCCCTCTGCCGCCACTAGAGGTACTACAGCAGCAGCACGTGGTTTGTCCCGCCATTATTTTCATGTTATCCGATTGGTCGACTAACTGAACCCACGACTATCGGTGGAATAATCGGTTAGGTACACAATCGGAGGGCCCAGCTTCTTATTCTCTGTGGCCGACGCCGACGTAGAGCAACAGCATTCACAGTGAGGTGCTTGAGCCAGACGATCGTGCCGGGGAGCGGTGCATCGCTGTGGTGGGCGCCGCCTTCGTGTTTCGCGAATCTGGCGTGGAGTCGTCACGTGCTCCCTTGAGCCCAGCTTCGAGGGAAATTGACGAGCGGGCGGCCGTGCCGTTGCCAATCGCTCGGACGTTGGGGTGCGGGGGACCGCTCGTTTCCCGCGCGTTCTCATCGGGCGTAGCGCAAGCGGCGAGCCCAGGGTATTAATGACGACGGGGCAGACTGCGATGTTTTATTCGTTAATTGGAATCAACAGTTCTTTGTTTTTCTCTCTTCTCAGCGACCTCCACGGGCACGGAGCAAGGGATAATGAACGGCGTCGGTGGGGTCTGTCAAAGCAACGGCATGAAGCTCGTCATGAAGGTTGGCCAAGGTAATGCCCGCTCGCAATGCTCACCCACTCCTGCCATGCCCACCACGTCCTCCTGTCATTCCGCCCAAACCAACACCAGGGCTGGCCAATGTCACCGACAGCCAGTCTCTAAGCGTTTTACCAAGAAATTTGTCTTCTCAGATACTTGAGGGATTTAAATAACATATTTGTGCATTTTTTTTGCGCAGCATTTAATACAGATGTAAAAACGACTTTGTTTATACAAAAAATATTTTCTCTCAGATACTTCAGTATGCGTGCAAAATGTTTATTTTCTGTGTGACATTTAATAGAGATGCAAAATAAACAAATTTGTAGGTTTTTATTCTGTGAGCTCATTTTTCGCAAATTATTATTCCGTGCTGAACTGCGTTTGATGAAATAAACAAGCAATGCCGCAGAATTCTACTTTTATAATTGGTAGACAAAGCCTAAGCCAGATTTAATAATTTCCTCGCTCATGGTGCAACTGCGTTAACCCTTTGTTCACAACGTTCAAGCTGATTATTATTGTTGTCATTATTGTTGTTATTGTTGTTGTCCCTTGCCGTGCAATCCCGCTGCTTCGTCTTCGTCTTCCGTGTTGCGTTTTCAACAAAGCAGCCGGACAACAACTAATGTCATAGCCATTCCACGGCGTCCAGGGTAGCTCGAGTGAGTTGTTGGGACTCTGTTCAGAGGGATCCTCACAGTCGTTGGGGCAGAGAGAAACAAGGCTGTTCCTTCGTCGGGATGTGGGTAGACTTCATGACCGGGGTTTATTCCCCAACAGATTCAAACCTAATGCCTGGCGTGATGATCCACGCTTCTTAAGATGGTGGAACCGAATCCCCCTTCACGCAGTGCTCGTCATTGGGCAACTTCACTTCTCATCCCGTGCAGGGTTTCGCTCGATCGACAGTAATTTCCCGCCATCATCAGCAGGTGCGGCTAAAGCCAGGGTCGCAAAGATCAGTCATTTTTTTCCCGACTCAGAGGCCCGCTTTCACTCTCGGAGTCGGTCGCCTTGCAGCGTTGCCCCTCAAGAAGAAGTTAATTGACAGCTCATTGAAAGCTCCGCATGGAGGCCCAGACAGCTAGACTCGTATCGCACGACCATCCTAAAGGTGGGATTTTTGGCTCGGCGGCTTTTCCACAGATAGACGCTTGAGTTAGTAAGTGGGTGTGTAGGTGGGTGGATTTTTGGGTGAGATACGGAGTGGGTCGGTGTCTGGGAAGGGCTGTTAAGAAAAGTGAGCACCGCATTTTTATTTATTTAGAGCAGGTTCTGCGGGCAGGGATGGAAGATGAAACGTTCCCCTTCAAAAGCCACGAAAAATTCAGCTCGGCCATCCAGTTCAATAAATCGGCAGCTGCGCTCTGATGTAGCAAATGTGTGGCGATGAATTCTGCTCGTGCCGCATCAAGAGCCGGGCAGCATTCGTCCAGCAAGCTCCGTATTCACGGAGAGAGAGAGAGAGAAAGATTACCGCTCGTACGTAATCGCCTCGCTTCCGCCGTGGTGACGGATCCTAATGGACTACGGGCTCGTTCGCTCGCTCGCTCGCTCGCTTGTGCTCAGCGCTATTTTATCAAAACCCAACGCAGGCAATGCACCATTTATTTGCAAGGTTTACCAAAATTGCCATTCACACAAATCACTTGCTCTACCTGCGCCAGCATTCAACATAAAAATGCGATTAGCATTTGTTGCATCTGAAGGACCTGTTAAAAGAGAGCTTGTGAAATGCATGTAATTTCCATTTTGTTATTTCATTATCGAATAATACACCAATATACATCAAAAACACATTTTCTAGTAATTTCTGTTGGGGTTTTCTTTCGCCGTCCGTTTAACGATGAAGGTGACTGCCATACGACCCGCAAGCGTTGTGTGCAAGCGTGCAAGCGTTCGAAAAATAATTAGCTAAATAAATTTGGACGGGTATAACGGTGTTGCTCTGAAATTCATCCACTGTCTTGATGGCTCTCAAAAGAAGTCGCAAAATCTTGGGGCATCAACGCACACAACCGTCTGCCGTGAAGTGCAACGTCACCTGCAGGAGGTCGATAATTCTTCTCTGCTGCCCCCATCGTCCTTTACTTCCTTCCTCCAGCCGTCTGTGTTATCTGCACACCCTGCCCCTTGTTCAAGTCCAGGCTCTCAAGGCCTTCCCTATTACCTTTGCCTATGACTGCCTTCCTGCCCATCTATAAAATAAACATGTCCACTCTTTCCGTCTCTACAGGATCTTGAGATGTCGTCACATTTGGAAGCTATATAAATACACATTGTGTGGTTTTGATTCGCGTAGAACCCCATAGTCTCACATAGATGCCCATGCTCTCACACAGGCATATGATGGACGGTCTATCCCTATTTGAATAAGCCCAATCACCGTTAGTATACAGCATCTTGAGATGTGTTCACATTCTTACGGTATATAGATCCACATTGTGGGTTGGTGCTGGATTGGTGGTGTAGTATAAGTATAGTAGCTCTCGGGTTATTGGGCATTATGTTCGTGTGCACCTCCGGTGCAGCGAAACGTTGGACATCCTGCCGAACAACACGCAGTACAACCCTGAAAATGCATCGGAGAACCCCACGTTGTATGGTATAATGGTACTGAGTACTGTGCAGTAATCATACAAATTATGTAAATTATTTAAGGGCACTCCCCCGCTCCCCCCCCCCACCAGCGACAGCGACAGCTGTCCTTGTGCGGGGCAAGGTGACAGCATCTGGCCTGCACAGGGACATTAGGTCCGCCAGCGGGCAGCGACGATTGCCACGCGTAATCTCAATCGAGTTTACTTTTCGAACTTGGCCAACATTGGACCGTGACGCCGGCACACAGCGGGCTCGCTCATTTTGAATGACGTCACGGGGATCTTTAATGCCCACGGTGAAGCAGACGGCACGGAGTACTATTACGCTGACTACACGCCCCGCAGTATTAACCGGGGCGGCCTGCCCGACCGGAGCTGCGAACCCGCGCAACGAGCGGCGAACGCGCCACCCCGACCCCCCCCCCTCCTCCCCAGACGCGTGGGAGTGGCGATGGCGGCGGCACGCATAAGAGGGACGCGTATTTTGTGCGTTCAGACCCCAACAGGAAGGAGGAGACCTCGCCCGTCAACCCGTCTCCGTCCCCCACGAGAGCGCGGGCGGCCCCCCCCGCGCCCCCCGGAGATGACAGGCGGTCGACCGACCGCACCACTCGCACAGGTGAGCCAAGCGCCCTCGCGTCACCCGGGGTCCACACCGAGCTGGGATAGTCTCCTCTTGGGGAGCCTCCACTAGGCAGAGGTCGCAAACGGGTTTTAATTCCTTACCTGTACCCGTACCCGGCCACACCAGGGTCGCAAATAGGTACCCGTACCCGGCCGGGTACCCGTTCCCTACCCGTACCCTACCCGAAATGAGTGACAAACGGTTACTCACCAGTGACTCGCGGCCTATCCGTACCCGTACCCGGCCGCACCAGGGTCGCAAACGGCTACCCGTACCCGGCTGGGTACGGGTAGCCGGGTATCGGGTAGGGTACGGGTATCGGGTACCCGGTTGCGACCTCTGCCACTAGGGTCCCCAATTGCTGTGTTGGGTGGTGGAGGGTGTTGATAACACAAACTTGGCCAGATCGTTACGTTGACTAACCCACAAATAGATGGTGAATCGTTACAATTAATTTGTTTTAATTATGGCGACGCTGCAATCACAGCTGTATTATTTATTAAAGCTTGTTTTATTTTCATAAAGCGCCTTTGTTCAGGACAATTATATTAATCAAAGTGGTTATATTTATTTATTTCGAAGATTACGCTGTCGAAACGTGTTTACCGGAGTCAAGTCAACTGCTTCGAGAGTTTTGATTGGAACAGTGTGAGCTGATCTGCTCCGTCACTTTTCGAGAAAAGTTAACAGCCCCAACGTCGTTTCGGATAGCTTTAATTAATACTGGGTCTTAGCAAACACTGGGAAACTATTCTATGGGCAAATGTCAATGTGTTTGTTTCGCTATTGCAGCACCAGTAGCATATTCCAAAGAACACAGGATGAGATGTTATTATCCTTTGTGCAAGCACTTCCAAGAGTTCATGAACAGTGAGCCTGGTGAAATTTGGGGAGCGCATCGTCAGTAGTGAACCTTTGGGTCCTAGGGTGTTTCGGCCTTTCATACTATACACCCTCCCCAAAGGCGGCCAGCGACAGGGTGATCAATCCTACGCTTGCGTCCCATTCCCAATTAGTCATAGGAGTTGCCTTGTTGTTGATAGCCAACATCCCATGGGACTATGCATGGCAGGGGCGTCCTCATCCCTGAGTCAAGCATTGTTGACTGCATACCTCCTGGCCCTCTCACTTTGGGGCCCAGCTGGGGTCTTTCCTCTTCATCCAGAGCCACTGACTGCTGCCTTCTGCCGCCTCCGATACAGCTCTGATTGCCGAACGCTGGCTCTGGCCCTTAATTCCCAGGTCTCTAAGCAGTCTGGTTGTAGATGTTGCCACAAAACCTCTGCAGCCCACCTCCACTGGTCGGACTTCTGTGTTCCAGCCATGATGCCGTGCTTCAGCAGCTAGATCGGCATAGCGCAGATGTTTTCGCTCATAAGCCTCATCTACTGAGTCCTCCCAGGGTACTGTGAGCTCAATGATGAAGACCTTCTTGAGCGAACGGGACCAGAGCACCATGTCAGGTCTTAGGGTGGTGGTTGCGATCTCCGGAGGAAACACAAGTTGCCGGCCAATGTCAGCTAGCATTTTCCAGTCGCGGGCCAAGCGCAGCTGGTCTCGCTCTATTGGTGTAGAGCCGCTCTTTGGTGGTTTAGCCCCTTCGCGGACAAAGGTCGTCCGTAAGGGGTGTGATGCTGCTGGGGGTGGTAGGGAGTTGGTGGCAGTTCGCTTGTCCTCCAGGGCGGATGCAATAACCCCTAAAAAGAAGCATTCAACTCTAACCGAGGTAGATAATTAATTGAATCGTAAATTATTTACGGATGTGGTGGTGTTGTGCAGTGGCTAGCACACTGCCCCGTGAACCCCGCCAAATGAGTTTGGTTCCTAGTCAAAGCTAAGATTTGTGGTGGGTGGTACGAGAGCTTATCTTGGCCTGAACTAACCTGCGCTGAGAAGTGCTGTGGAGCATGGCGGAACAACCCCCATGGTCGGTACTGGGCAGGGATGCCTTTGTCCGGCAGTGGAATGCAAAAAGGGGGGCTGCAGATGATGGTATTATTAATTTCTACCAAGAGTATTGGAGCTATGAATGAATTGACTTGCTTGTCAGTGTACCTTTAAAGGTAACGCTGTTGCCCAGGTGCAAAACAACTGCGATCATTGCACGTCAACTTCACCTCAAATCGAGGAAATATTATGTTTGCGTCTCTACACTCGCCATTGCGTTTGATCATATTGAGTACGCTATTCAATCTTCAAGCTATAAATGTATGGACGGCAGAGTCTTCTTTTGGTATATTCACTTTTTTTCTTCACTCGTTGGCGTTTGCACTCTTCAAATTCACATCCAATCCAATATTGAGAAAAACCTGTTGTATTCTGCTGCTCCTTATACATTTATTAACACTGTAGAGATCATGTATTATACAGATACCATCACATGTTGGCCCCTTCCTGAAATTTATTTTACGTAACAAAAAGCAAAGGTGGTCCCCTGTGTATACCCTCCACAGACTGTTGGTGCAAGTGCTGTTAGCGAGTAGCGCCTATGAAGGCTGACGCAGCACACGAGGGGCTGGGTGGCCAACAGCAGAAGCAGCCACCTTTGACTCCCCACGCTTGATGTTTGTACATCACATCAAGTACTCATTTAAGGCCGAATCGACCTATGGAAGGCCCAGGACCAGTTCTGTCGTGAGCGGGAATTGAACCCGGGTTGCCGGGTTCATCGCGCAGTATGCTGACCACTACACTCTTGCTCCCGTCCGTGCAATACATATGAACTGTACAGGCATTTATTCATTTTTGCTTCCCTTTGTGTTAATTTTATCTCACTGGTGCTATCGGCACCATGTAATGAGATTAATCAATTTTGAACCCCTTGCAGAGCAGTGCAACACCACGTGTTAGATAACAGTCCGCGAAAGTAGATATAATAGAACTACTTTTGAGACCCCTTCATGTGATCTATTATAATCTATGTTGTGGGTCCGGGACTTTCCCACACAATAGTGTGATGATCAAACCGATTTGTTTTTGTTATACCCAGAGCTGGAATTTAGCCAAATTATGTGACAAACTAAAATGTAATATGATGGGTTTTTGTGCAGTCATTGCTAGCCAGGCCGATTGGCCGTACTTCAAGTGTAATTCATAATAAAGGTTGTAATTGCAACAATTTATGATGTGATTTGTTTCCATGGTCTGGGTGCAATTTATACGAAATAGTTTTCTCAAAATCATCCCACGTAATATATATATATTTTATCAACTTGTCTCTTTTATGCGCCATTGATTGAACGTGTATATATATTTATATTGTCTTCAACAAGCTCGTTAAATTTTTTCGCAATAATATTGCAACTTCACAGCCACGTGTTCACACATCAACGCGACACCACACAATTGCCTTGTTGGCGAGAGAGTGAGACTGAGGGCAAGAGAGAGAGAGCAAGAGAGAGAGAAGGGAACATGGTTGGTTCAATTGTCCCGTTGTGCACGAGTGAGATTTTCCAAATGAATTCAGATTTGCTTTCATGAATGTTTTACGGCATTGTCAGTTAGGATGCCAAGGGTTTCACGAAAGATTTTTCAAAATTTAAAACAGCGTATGCCATAATAATAATAAGAAAAAAATAAACAAAAGACATGGACATGCTCGTGTGTATTGGCCGATAAGTCTTCAATTTAAAATTGATGGGATTTTGAAAAATACATCATGTCCTACCAGCATGCAGTTTCATAAACTTTTAAACATTTCATATTCCCCCCCCCCCCAATTGCGGTTAGTTTCCCGTATAATTAAGGGCTCAAAACTGACAAGCTTGTTTTTATTTTTTAATGACTACCAAGGGGAAGCAGTCAACATCGTCTCGTCTGCATTTACAGACTCCTTCAATCCAGCACACGACACACGCCCATGCAAGTCACTTATAAGCAGCTTTAAATTACACGAAAAGAAGACGCCTTTATCGCCTAATTTGAATAAGTTATTTTCCAGCAGGTATGATCACCAAAATCGAGACGGTCATAAAATAAAATAAAAATCACCCCTTTGCTTTAATGAGTAGGCGGAGATCTTGACAAGTTGTTAGTCTTGCCGCCACCGATCAGAGCGTCACTGCAGGCGATAAATGTTCGTGTCCTCCCGTGCGCGCAGCCTCGGTGACATTACTTCTTCCGTTCCGTCGTCACCTGCCCATCTGTCTCGTGGGTTTTGTTTAGCGTGGGGAAAATTAATCGGGGTGGAGTGGGGGGGGGGATTATTTGACGTTCGTCTCCTCACCTGAAAAGCGCTGGCGGCAAATTCTCGTGACGGTCGGGGTTCGTCTCGTTAAATTTATTTTATGGGCCAATTCGCGTGACGGTCGGGCCTCGTCTCGTTCATTTTAATTTTGCCGGCACTCGCGCTGCTTTTACGGCCGTAATTGGGTGGGGTGCGTTTGCGTAAATTACCGCGGCGAAAATGAGCAACGGCTCTGCGTTCGGTGGCTTCGCGGCGTCGAAAATAGCTGCGGCATAAGCGGCGAATGTAGGCAAAAACCCGCTGGCGCCTGATGAAGGAGTTAACATGTAAAGTGCACAAATTTGTATAATGGGCAAAAAATTACCGCCTGACGCTTATTCTCAAGAGTCTTGTGAAAGCAGCCTTCGTGACCTTGTAAACAGCGCTTTGTGAGCCCGGTGTATGCTCAGCGATCTGTTTCATTAGAGGGTGCGTGGATGTGCAGCATGTGCTGCGGTCCGTGCCTCTGTGTGTGTGTAAAAACCGGGCGCCTCTAATTTGGTGGCAGGGCGCCTCGGAGACTGTACCGTGAACCCTTGTGCCGGATGGGCTCTGGATCACCGCCAGGGGCTGTCGTAAAATCTTGCCACGTCAGCGCCTGCACAGCCACCAGCCCAGCCATTCCTTAGTTGGCCACGATTCGGGTCTTCAGGCCCCACCAATCAAAGGGTGACCCCAACTAGGCATAGCGAGCACGTGAGAATATTCTTTGCGGAGTGGGGAGGGGGGTTAAAATTTTTTTAAATATAATGAACGAAATAATTTCAAACGCACGTATATATGTATTTCATTTATAGATTTGAAGCTTTCGTGACTGCAAGGATTCATATTTTTAGGTTTTTTCGGTAAAGTCACGTAGATAAAAAATTAAAATTAAAATGAATGAAAGTAAAATTAAAGTAAAATAAAAGTAAAATAAAAATCACGACGTTTCGGAGGCAACACAAGCTTCGTCACAGCACGATAGCTGTATCAAGTAGCTTGATACAGCTGTCGTGCTGTGACGGTTCCACCTGAAGACGGAAGCTTGTGTCGTGATTTTCATTTGATTTTTATTTTACTTTTATTAATTTTAATTTTTTATCTACGTGACTTTACCGAAAAAACCTAAGAATATGTATTCTATGTCCGAAAACAAGAGAGTGGAAGGTTGCCACTTGGACAAGCCCCCAGGTTCCTCGATTGTGTCAGTTTACCATCATGGGCTGTGGTCGTGGTGAACTTATGCACTCTCCATTTTTTGCATATCGATTGGCTAATTTAATTTAATTTGCACGGGTTTGATGATTCTGTCAGTTCCTTTGAATCCGGCTTCGAGAGGTATTGTTGGAATGCAAGAACTGCGAAATAGGTCTGAAGGGTCTAGGCACTGTTAGGCCTCACCCACGCTACAGTTGGATGCGCTGTGACACTTCACCGGGTAATAAATGATCTCCCCTCAGTTTCCACGCGTGCCACTGGACGGGAGGTGGCAGGCAGGGTTTGTGTGACGCCACATCGTCAGCGTCGTGGCTGCTGGCTTATTAAATAAAAACAGCAATAAGGCATGACGAATATTGGGTGAAATAAAAAAAGTTTCTAAAACTACAAACAAAATAAAATAACCTTGCTGTGGTCTTGGCACTTTAAGTCATATCGTTTGTTTGCTTGAACAAAGAGTTTAATTTATTTATGCGAGGATCTAGGTTATTATTAACGGGGAAATGAATTTGTAACAATATTACAAACAAGTGCAGATAGTCTATTCGTGTCGTTAGTTTATTAAAAAAAAGTTAGTCATATATATTTTCTAAAGACTGGTGTCACCCTGCTGCTGCTCTATATAAGAACGGGAGACAGAGCAGAGCCTCACCATTCTGGCAAATTGCCCGATGATGCTGGATGCAATTACCAGCGAAACGTCGTACTCAAATTGTAAATGTTGTGGTTTCACGCTTCAACACACCGGTGGGCTAAAGCAGTGAACTATTTGTCTTTTGTCAACGTGACACTTTTTTACTGATTGGCCGTGTCGGGTGGTGGAGGGTTACGACACATTTATAAATAACGCGATCTAAACTCAAAAAACGTTGATTATGAATAATATTGGTCACGAAAGCCTGCTACGTCTTAAACTAAAGACTGGTTGTCCGCTTGACAAATGGGTCTATCCTGTGCTAATATGACATGTACTGCGGAGCCTGAAACTTTGACCCTATGTACACAGTTTGCATTTAATTTTGTTTGTGCAAGTGTTTTGCTTGCATACTCAAGATTAAATGTTTGACTATATAGCCATTGTGGTGTTTTCTTTGCGGGTTTTTTCTGCGATATATATTTTTCATCCAATTATGTTCCAGTTGTACTCTATCAATTCATAAGGTCAAGAATTTTCCGTAAAGACAATCGGGAGCTAACAGTGCATCAATCAGTGTCAGAGAACAAAGCTGGAAGTTGACGTCGTATAACTACTTCTGAAGCCGCTGGGGAAAATCTCTTCATGACCTGTAAAGAGTGTTCATCACACGTCAATAAAATTAACAACTGTCAGTCTTCCGGCTGGAATGAGGCCAATATTTACCAAAAAATTCGAATGATAATCTTTTTCAAAGTCTTTTGTGACTGGGTTGACATCAATTTGTTCCACTTGAGAAGCCAGGGGCAGCTGAAACCTGGCATCGAACCTATGTCCTTAGTGGTGCCAGCTTTGACCTCTGACCCCTGAGCCTCCCAGCCACCACAGCTTATCTTAATTCAATAAAAAAAAAATTCATTTTTTTAGAAACGTTCATGTTTTCTGCAATTGTATCCATATCTTTGGATCATATTCACGTTTCCTGCATAAAAGATTTGCTTTTGTGCAATCGGAAATGCCTTTGCGTAATAATAGCGCCTTTTCGCGATGTAATACCGTTCCTCGTTCATTCACGACGACGTTGGCAACACGTCGGTGTGCCGCTCTCGCGCGCGTGCGCTCTCTCTCCCGAACGCTTCGCTCACGGCTTCGTGTCTTCCCCTCCCAGACCCGTCCGACTCCCTGCACGAGCTGCACCAGTCCGGCATGGAGTCCAACCTGGCTCTCATCGTCGGCGTGTCGAGCGGCTCCCTCATCCTGCTGCTCCTGCTGCTCCTGCTCGCCCTCTCCGTCTGCTACGTCCGCCGCAGCCGCGAGTCCCGCCGTTGGGGCCGCGGTGGGGGCGGCGGCGGCGGTTCCGGTGGGCCCGGTCCCGGCGGGCCGGGCCGCCGGGGCCCGCACTTGAACGCGTCGGCGGCGGCGTCGGCGCCGCCGCCGCAGTCGTCGCTGCCGCTGTCGCTGACGCCCGGCTCCGTGGCCGTGAAGTTGGGGGGCGGCGGCGGAGGCGGCAACAACAACGGGTCGGACCCCAGCGACGTGGTGATTCCGCTGCGGACGCTCGAGGGCGGATTCTGCCCGCACTACGAGAAAGTGAGCGGGGACTACGGCCACCCGGTGTACATCGTGCAGGAAGTGCCGCCACCCAGCAACGCGAACGTCTACTACAAGGTGTGAGCGCCGCTGCCGATGGAGACTGTGGGCGCGGACGCTGAGTTTCCCGCATCGCAAAAGCGTTGCTTTTGTGTTTTTAATAGTTTATTTTATTTTATTTTCGGGACGTTCTTTTTGTCGTTCTATATATTTTTTTCTTTTAACGACTCGATGGACGCCGCCGTCTCCCTTCCTCCGCGAGGGTGAAGCCGCAAGGGAGGACCACTTCCGCCGATGACGTTTACTTGCGCCATATTGGACGCGTGAAAACGCTTGCGGGAGGAAGCTCCGCGGAGAACTCTGCCACCTCTCGTCGTCGAAATAAAACGGCAAGCGACCGTTCGCGACCCTCACCCCCGCACCCGCCCCCCCCCCACGTCCGCCACCTCGTGCCATCGCGCTCCACAAGTTTTACCGTGAGCCTCTCAACGGTGGCTTCCTCCGTCACACCCGTGCAGGATGGTGACCTCTGCCGGAGACCTCTGCTTTGGTTCACACGATTTTGCCAAGCCATACAGAAAGGGATCTGATAGCAGAGGACACTTGTTGTTGTTGTTGTCGCCTGCGTTGTGGTCATCGCAAGGCAAGCATATGACAAAAATAAAATAGAATTCTTAAATGCCATCCAAATTCGAATTCTACATTCTTCTCAGCAAGATGACCTTTTGCAGTAGTGGCAACATTTCAATAAAGGTGGTATGCATGGGGTTGTTTTTTTTTCCTTTCTTGCTGTTGGTGAAGGTTATTGTGTTCGAAAATAACCTGAACTATCTAACTACTGCCCTGCTTTTTGAGTAACAAGTTACATTTTTTAAAAGATTTTTGTGATGCTGTGCTTAATGAGTTTTAAGAGCTGCTTCAAACACTGGCTTTTCCAGACTTTTAGGCATGTGCCCATCACTGCAGAGTGCCTCTGATCTATCAGAGCTATTCAATGGTGTATTTTTAAAACCTTTATTTTAATTTTACATTTTTACATCTTACATTTTTTCCCATTATTATGCATTCTGTGAGTAAATCAATACTTTTGTGGATACTTTAAAAAACGAAGCATACATGCAAGACCCGCTGTGAGACTTTTTTTCCTCTCCAACAGAAACATTTTTGTCATTTTTCATTTATCATTTCATTTCACGGTACACTTTCAACCGTGCTCCGTGTGAGAGAACCCACGAAGGCATCTGCTATAAACCTCTGTGCACCATATTTGCGCGCCGTTCATAATCTCTCCGCCGTTCTGGGGCGCTTGGCGCGCAGAGCCACAATTTTAAACCTTTCTGACTTAAATTACCACTGGAGAGATTCTCCCACTGAAGCGGATATCGGTGACCGGGAGGTTTGCATGAAATGCTTTTTTTGCAGTTTTTAGTCTCAGGAGTCAGAAAACTTGAACGCTTTTTTTCTTACTTCTCTTCATTTTGGGTCAATGTACAATGCTACTACTCGAATTTTAAAAGACGATTTTTGGGAGTCAATTTTTTTTTACACGTTGCTTTTTTATGATCATAAACTCATTTCGCGAAATGCGGGATTGTGAAATCAATTTTGCAGACGCACCACGCATATACACTTGCACTAACACGCACGCGGATCACTAATGTTTGACTGAATATGAAACTTTTTTTAAATAGCAATGTACCACTTCTGTAACTATCATTGTACGTATGCAAATACAGGACTTTCCAAAAAGCTGAGGTTCACAGTTTCTTGGCGGTGCTTTGAGCTAAATTGAACCGTAATTAGGGAATTAGTTCAGCATCTCAAAATATAATTTATTTCTACATTTAATCGCAATTTAATTAAGATCGGGATTTTACGTTGATTGTAATTCGTACCGACATTTATTATCAGCCTTATAGGGTAATATCAAAATCCGTGGAGATCCAGGGACAGGGACCGGTCAACCACAATAACAAGAAGAGCCATTGTTATCGAATTCGGTGAAAAATACTCAACTTTTCAAGAGACGCAAAACGTGTAATAAAATAACGTGTCACGAAGCAGTCCTTTAAAGAGCCGCGTGCCGCAGTTTGCCGACCGCTGCCCACGCAGGGCCAAGTAGGGCTGGTCGTTTTTTCCTTAAGTCACGAAACTCACTCGCTTTACCCTCGACTCTGCCCAGTCCGGCTGTCATTAACTCAAGGCGCCGCGTGACCGTTATGACACCAATGGCAAAAGGACTTGCTTCCATGTTGGCCACAGAGGTTCCGGGGTTGGCTGTGGCAATCGCAACTGTTGACTCGACGTGGGATTTCGGTTCACCAGACTTGCTCGGCTGCCCATGTAAACTTCCGCGTCTCCCCCCCTCACCCCCCCTGAACCAACAAGCTCACGATCCAGACTGTGTCGGCAGATCTCCGCAAAGCGTGCTCGCCCCACGTCCACAATGGCACATGGGCCCCGGGCGATAAACGCTTCCACGCGAGCGGCGCGAATGCCCCTGTAATAGATGGGGCCTTGTTAAAACCCCAATTGACAAGGACATCTCGCGGTGTTTAATTTGAAGAAGAAGAGAAAAATTATAATTAAAGCCCGCAGTTAATTAAAAATGATCACGCAAACTGCACACAAAGTTCAGGGATTAATTAAGACTCTGATTGATAAGCCAACCATGCTTTCTCTCCGTCTGTCTCCCGTGTGACACGGTTCGCTCGACACATTTTTTTTGTTATCGCCGCCGCCGCCGCCGCCACCAACCGTACCGGCCCTGCGTAAATAATGAAGCGGGCAGACAGCGGGCATGAAAACGGGCACGATTAATACCACATCAGCCATCGTGGCATTAGTGGAAAATCCTTTGTGCATTGAACTGCTAAATGATCCGCAGAGTTTGGAGGTTGGCGCGTTTGTAAATGCCGTCGTTAGAGTAACGCAAATATCCATTACGGAGTTCGCCACGTCCCGTTATTGAAAGGCGACCTTTCCTGTCCTAACGAGTAGTGGCACTGTCAGAGGTGGTAACTATTGGGGTGAGAGGGGGGGGGGGGTTAAAAGAATGAGACGAGAGCTCACGAAGGAGTAAAGTTTCCGTTTTAACGATTCCAAATAGAGAAGGAGTATGTAATTTGAAGCGGTGCCTCTTCCCGTTGCCATGATTTATATTAGCGGTGTTGATGCAGTCACAACATACTCAGCTCCGTGTGAAAGTTGTAACAACAACAACAAACTTATTAACTGATAATGTTGTAATACATGAAATTACTATGAATAATAAAAATAAAAAACACACATCAGGGATTAGCAATTTGTGGGGCCAAAACTATGGAAAAAATTATAAACAAAATTACTATAAACGAATGCCGTATTTTCTTGCAGCTGTTAGTCATGCCTTCCTTCACCACAAACCTTTTCCCTTTTAAGAAAAACGAATTCAAGGAGTTTGTGCTGATTTTTTTTGTAATATAATACAGTACAACTGTGTAGCCTTGGGGCAATCCACAGAAAAAGACGTTAAGATTCATCCTCATAATAATAATAAAAATAAAAACCCAAAGGCAAATCACAAAAACAAGCCATCATGGTGGAAATTGTAGGGGTTTCGTTTTGTTTAGCTCAATCAAAATCCTGAAGTCGCAAGCAGATTTGATCAGTTTTCAATGAATCAACCGCTCAGATGTTTTCCATCAGATGTGACATTCGGGAGTTGCTTCAGACAAGTGCCGATTCATTCATTCACTTCGTGGCACTGTTATTGCCACATTTTTATTTCTGGATCGACTGAAAGTCCTGTCCGCAGAGGGTAGACGAGCACATTCCCCGTGCGTCTCTCACTTGTCTTATTAAAAAAAAAGATGTAGTTAAATCGATCAATTCCGAAAGCATTGCACGTCAGTAATACAAATCTGCTTAAGATGTACATGCGCAGAAAATTACTGGAACGTCAAACTTACTTACGTCCACCATATTTAGCTTAATTACCCTAAGACCAGTTGAAAAAAAATTGCTCTGAGGCTCTTTTAATAAGTTGCAACTTATTATAAAAGTCACGCGGGTGCCAATTATAATATTATAGCGTAATTGAACTTCAGCTTCTGGGAGGGTCTTAATTTTGTTACGCGCCGTTAGAGAGTCTTGCCGCAACGAACACGTAAGGCTGCCATTTAGGATGCCGGGGTGTTCCAGGGTTTCTGGCGTTAAGTCCTAACATCGTTTTGGAGCATTTTCAGCTGGCCGGCGCCGAGCGTGTGATGAGTTCCTCAGCTGTGCAAGATTTTGGGCTTTCGGGAAAGCGATTACGGCGAATGTGCGGCGGTGGTGGCGGCGTAAATTGTTTAAGTTCTCGTAGTCAAGGCAGGCGCAGAGGACTTGAGGAATTTGCAGAGCTTTGGACGACAGATGTAAAAAAGAAGAAAAGGCAAGAGGGCCTATTTAGCCCACATTCTTTCCCTAATCCCCAGAGCAAGCCTTCGGATCAGTTGGTCCGCACATTCAATGTCCTCCAACGGTAGCTGCCGTCTCATTAGTCTGAGCTGTGTCAAAGTGTGTCCATGTCTGACCAGCGTGACCCCACTCCCACCACTCCCCCCCACCACCACCCACCACCACCCAACCCCACCGAGCAAATGTGTATTTTTCCATCCCCCCCCCCCCCCCACATTACATATATGTTTATCCTCCTTTTTTAATGAGAAAATGAAGATAATTTGTGTAACATTAAAGGCAAGGGTGTGTTTATTGCCATGACAGCTGGCGTCTATTATAGAGACCAAAAGGAGAAAAGGCTTGTTGTGAAGTGGGCGATGTGCTTGGAAAACATTAGACTTTTGAATAAGAGAACTTGGGTGACAACTGTAGCGAGGATCGCATCTGGGAGGACTCTTTCTCTTCTAAAACAATGCACCGGCCAGAATTTAAAGCAGGGGCTATGTCAAGTCCACTCTGCAAGAGGGTCACAATGGTGAATAAAGCAGCGTTGGGATATAAGCAGTGGGACGTGACTCTTCACGCAATAAAAAGAAAATGTAAATGCACAATAAAAAAAACGACGGGATGAAATCCCCCTTTCTGCTCCGTAGGTTGGACACTGGTCCTTTGAGAAAGACGAGAGACGGGGATTTTTACATCACAGCCACGTGATACCTGAGGTTGAAGCACGGTAGTCGTAACCCTCTATTGATGGATCGAGATGGCTGCCTTTGAATTACAAATGGGGGAGATGGGGGGGGGGACGTATGGGCGGGTTGCGGTGCTGCCCTTAACAAGCCCTGGTGGTTGACACTAAATCCTGGGAGATCTGAAAATGCTTGTATTTTCAAACCGATTGTTGTCGCCGGGATCTCGGATAATTCGCGTTGCAAGCGTCTGCGAGCGCAGTGCGCTGGTGCTTTGCTCATCGAGAGTCAGCTGGAATTCAACCATCACCGCATTATTGGTGTGTGTGCGCGCTGGCAATTTGCAGAGCTCTTGAGAAAGCAAGAAATAATGTAAAATGTCACGGCTTATCCCCACAGTGCAATCAATGTCACATATGATGGCACTTCAGGCAGAGTTATTTCATTATTTATTTTATTACTTTCATATTTTTGGGTGTATGGGGCCGGGGAAGGGAGGGGCAAATGGGAGAGGTGCGGTTAATGTGCATTTGTAGGAGAGAGGGGGGAAAAATAACAACGCAGACCCTTCACGATCTATTTTTTATTTTTTCGTTGAGAACACACGAAAAGGGGTCTTCTTTCTGGTCTCATTCATCCTGCGCCTCGGTGGAGGACGGCGGGCAGTAGAGTGTGTCACGCGTGAAGTGCACCACGTGCAGATGGACGGACCGAGCGCGCTTGCAAATTCAGCACGAGTATGCTCCACTTGTCAGCGTGACATCACAACTAAAGCTTTACCCAATTCATCTCACTGTGAATTCAAAGCACGGCACGGGGCATAAAGCGATTACCATTAGTTCCAAACACGGGGGTTCATTTTAAATCATGATGAACACATTGCGAAAAGAACAAAAGAGACACTTGATGTTTTATTCTGACGATGTCTGGGGTGTAAAAAAAAAGTCGAGCACAAAGAGATTGCCTCGAAACCGAATTACACTTGGTGTGTCTCGTAGAATGTGCGCAGTGAAGTCATACTTGGGATTTGTATTGTTTTAGCTGAGCACATGGCATTGCGATTTTGACAGTGCTTTTCACGGGATAAAGTAAATAACTAACAAACATGTTTCGTGGTTCCACCGTTGCTCGACGAGGTGTGACATCGAGCGCCAAGACGCCCTTGACTGACGCCATGGAGAGCGACGCAAGTTCATGTAATGATTCATATAAAATTCGTGCACTTTTAATTGTTTAGCTGCGGAGGGAAATTGGAGGCCGCGCATCTTCCAAGTCATAATAACAACGTCCAATTGAGAGGTTTGACGAGCCACGGGGCATGGCTTGCGGCGCCTGTGACTTTGTGTGGCTTTTATAACCGCGATATCCACGCAACGCTTTCACGTCGACATTAAGATCGGTTGTTAAACACATTTACGCGTCAATTTAATTTGTAACCGCGCATGAGATTAATTCGGACGATTAACAATTTTTATTTAACATTTTGAGTTGTCTTTTGCTTTCACACATATTGGCTACCCTTACACAGAAATGATAACATGTAGAAATAAATAACTAAAAATCCCGTACCTAATATTTTAGAAATGCCTACAGGATCAGTTTAGGACGAACATTATTTTTTTTCATGCTATTGTACAATGTTGTTTCAATAAAGTATAAATGGAAAAACAGTATGTGCCATATATTTTTAAATGCCCTATAGTGATATATCTCTCAAGGATTCAAATGCCTTACCTGTAGGGTGACATGACAATTATGAAATGTATAAGCACTGTCAAATTCCCTTGTAGGGTTTTTTAGGATTTTCCGTTTGAATCCTGTTTAAAGCTTCTGCAGGACTTATTCAATTTCTTGCAGGATCCTGCAGGGAGAGTTCCACCATATAATATTGTGTAGGATTAAAATAACACCCCTCCTGTATTCATTTCTATGGGAGGGATTACATTATGCCACTGTGAGATTATCAGTTAAATTTGTCTATTACACTTTGGCATGTAATAACCATAAGGGGGTCATTTGTAAAATATATATAAAAAGAAGTACATTCTTGTATCATTCACGTGCAAATGATCCTTGTTTTGGTCTGTGTGGCAATTACGCGAGGGAAGATAAGGATGAGACTGTTAGTGTTTAAGCCATTCAAAAAAACTAAATAGGTGTTCATGAAGATAGCATCCATTTTAAAATAATGATTATTGCAAAACAGTTTGAACTGCGTAGTGGAAATGTTGACAACACACTCCTTAGGGGTTTTTTGTTGTCGTGTTTTTGAGAGATCTTCAAACAATCACGGCCGAGACGTTGGCAAACGTGCTGGGGCACTCTGGAATCTCGACACGAGAAGCGGTTTCGAGGCATGAGACTCACACAATACGATCTCGTTTCTACCAAGCGTTTGTGGGAACGGTTCTGTCGGCCCGAGCTAAAAACCATTTGCCTAATGATGATGATTCTTCAATAATGAATGACACTTTTATGGACACCTTGGGTTTAAAAAAAAATCAAACACTGCCCTTAAGTAAAAGCACTGCAAAGCTAATGATTACTATCATTTGGGGTCCTGTAGGTATTTTAAAGTTGTACACTCTTCGGCTTACGTAGTATATGACGACGGTATTTGATAATGTTTTTAGTTTTGACTATTCCTGTTTCCGCCTATATACTTGTATTTTTGTGATGTCAGTTTCCAAAAAATACAATTATTTCTTTATCTGCATGTCAAGCAGATGCATTCTCATATAATTTTTTTCGAGATGAAATGTAGATGCTATAAAAGGGTTAAATTGTCATTATCCCGAAACTCCTTTCCATTTTTGTCCCATCCTGTCTCTGTGTGCAAACCCTCAATGGACACTGAATGGACATCGGAGGACATGTGATGCTCAATGCACCGATCGTATGGGAAGAACTCTTCTTGATGTGAATAAGATTTTATTCGGAAGGACTTGTTGAGAATGAGTGTTTTTTAATAATAAAAAAAATAAAACTCGCAAACGCCTTATTTAGCACAGACAATCCTTGACGCGGGTTGAGGTGGGTTCGCTCTGTTGGTTAGCGCGACCTCTTTTTGCAGCGAGTGGCTGTAAAATTAACCTTGAATTTTACCATCAAAACACTCGAGATGACATCAAACTGGTTGCGGTTGCTTTTTTTTGTCAACGTTTTTCAAAGGACTGTAAATTCTTATAAATATTCCTCGTTTCGTGTTTCGTATGTAGTACACACACACACAATTAACGTTTTGTTCCGGATTGCTTTATTTTACTTTCGAGAGGGACCACGAGACCGCGTTGTGATTACTTTGAAGTATTTATTTAAAGAAAAAAAAAATTCCAGTATAAAAAACAAAAACAAAAACCCCCAACGAATTAAGGAATCTTCGGACAACACATTCTTAATGCCACGGGGACAGGTTTGAAACGGAAAAATAGGTCAGCCGCCGTTATGAAGGATTCAACTTGTGGTTACACCGTTGAACGTTTTGAAATAGTTGGAAATTCGAGTTTGTGTGCAGCCTTGCTGTGGTTTCGTGGTGAAGGAAGGGCTGCCTCTTAAAGATGATGTTTTGTTGCCGAGGAAACGGTCGACATGTTTCGCCACTCATTGTGCTGCTGCTGCTGCTGCTGCGTCGCACCACAGGAGCATTGGCGATGGCGCACTTGCAAAAACCACAAGAAGTATAAACACAGAGTAACGTGACGGAACCCGTGCAATGGCTTCACCTGTTGACAGTCGTATTTAGTCTGGAGCAGCGGCGAGTGCGGATTGAAGCGGTGAAACGGAGCAGTGGAGTTATTCACATTTTCTCGGAAAGATTTGTCTGTATACTGCATTCTGTATATTTTGTTAAATAACGCGCTGTAATTTATATTATATTTCCCTCACTATCTTAACTCGTACTGCTAAGTCTTAGTAACATGTTTTTTTAAGGAAAAGTACCAGTACAGTACTACTCACTTTTTTTTTTTAACAAATGCTCTTTGTGTTCGTAACGTAGGGACAGTTTTTTTTTGCCTCGACAGTTTTTCGTAGTAGTCCTCACTCACGATAGTCACGGGGTTATTTTTTTGTTGCAAGGAATTCTAAGTGAAATCTTGCTGCATCATTTCCCCCGGTGGGCCAGTGTTTGTTACAGAGGAGTGCTTCAATAGCTGGGGACTATTGCGCGGTGCTCAAAGCCGCGTGTCACAAACCACAATCATGGCACACTAAATACGATCCAAGCAAAATTCATAGATAACACCTAAAACACGTTTTTTTTATTAATACGCCACGTACATTTTTATTGCGAGAATTACAATGATGAAACTACATTTCGAAAAAATAAATAGCCGCGTGCCTGGGTGGAAATGAGAACAAGACATGGCGATCACTTTGTTTGTGTGTGTGTGTGTCACTGAATACCGTGCCTAATATTTAAATACTGTCGGTCGTATTGGCGGGAGCAATAAGACGTGAAATATTAAGTCAGAATGCATCATCGCCTCGGGAATTACACCACTGCACGTCGGTTATGAATGGGAGAGTGGTATTTGGCTTCACGTTTAAACGAAAACCCTCCGTCTGCGTCACTCTCTGCCTACCTCCGTCGCAATAGTACCGGCACTACGACGACAACAGCAACATCAAGAGGGCCTAGACCTTGGGGCAGCGGATTCTATTAGCCGTGATAACAACAACTACAACAATAATCACAATAAACACTATCATTTACTTAATAAAACATTGTATAGAAGAACATCAAGACGTGTCTTGAGCCAGGCAATTTAAATGTTTGCAGAAGTGAGCGAAGTGGCTACACAGCAAAGTGCAATTTCCCCCACCACCACCACCCCGAGTACATGTGGATCGTATTAAGGCGAGGGGCCCCCCACCACCTCCCCCGGTGAGCCGAGGAGGCAAGGGCCGCCGTCTTCGCGTGCGTCCTGCCGACCGGCGGTGGGGGATGGGTGCGCTCGTTTCACGTAGAACCGAAGCTCCATCATCCATGGCCGGTCACATTTAGAGGTCCGTAGGACGTTCGGATTTTTTTTCTTGCTGTTGTCATTTCTTCCCTCCCCCCCCCCCGCCTAAAAAAAAAATCTCGTTTTTTTTTACGTGACAATTAAAAGTGCGGCGTGGTGATTGCGTAAATTTTGTTGTGAGCCAAGACTTTCTCCGTCATTCGCTGCCCCATCCTCCCTCCCACCTATCTCCTTCCCTCAAGCAAATATTTCGGGTTTTTTGGCGTAGATTTTTGTTTGTGTACAGCCCCCCCCCTGCACCCCCCCCCCCACCGTGTGTTTTTTTCGGGACAGTTTTCGATGTTTCCTAAGCAGGTGTTATTTTGTCACCACTTGTAATCGCTAAAGTTTGCTACACAACACTGTTTTTTTTGGGGGGGGAGGGGGGGGGTGATGGAGTGGGGATTTTATGAGATCCTGTATGTACATTGTTCGATCTTTAAATAAAGTGGCAGTTTTATAAAAAAAAAAAACCCATCAGAATCGCGCAACTGCCGTGTGCTCTTCCCGTCTGGACGTTGTCGCGAGTTGTTAGAATACGACGGGGGCGTTTCTCTCTTGCGAGGGCCGTGAAAACATGAGGCGAGCAAATATCTTTAATTGATACGGCGTGTGTGTGAGGAGCGCATCTTCGAAGAATTCTCACAGCTGGAACGGTTTTACGAGGTTGTGGAGTGGCATTATTATTATTCTTGGTCATTGCTGAGCCCATCAGTGCCAGGTTTATTTCTTTTTCGCGACAGCACATAATGAAGTGCCGCCTTCAAGATATAGTGGCTCGGATGTATTATTTCCGCATCCTCCTGATGATTACACGGCACACTTTGTCTGCCTCTAAGCAGACGACGTGCGTAGGAGTGTGCGTCTTCCCAGCAGGTGTGTGCGCGACCACGTCCGTGTGACATCGAGGCCGAGCACAAGATCGTGGTGCGCCTTAGCGTCTCGAGCGTCTGGTAATCCGGACATCCCGGGAGTAAATCGTAAAATGTAAAAGGTCAAATGGCGTTGAAAAGGTTTAAACAAAAAAAATAACTCCTGATCAACATTGCGTTCGCTTTCGAGCTTTCGACTTGTGTGGGACGGACACGTGTTTTGTGTCATCTCAAGCGACCCCATCAACTCGCGCTGACCAGCGTGGTGAAGTATGGTCGAACAACTCTGCCCGCCCCACCTTGCATGGGGGAGGCTTTCGATGAGCAGCAACTTGACGAAGGGCTGTAAACTCGGCTGTATGACCGTACACATGTATGACCGTCCACACGTATGACCGTGCACATGTATGACCGTCCACACGTATGATCCCACTTGCGTGCACGCTTAAGTGGTCGTAAAAAACACGTTCAGAAATGGATGATGAAGATCCTCAAGAGAAGCACCGAACATCAATGCACTTATTTTACGACGTAATCGATACGTGAATAATGTACGACTTCAAATGACACCTGACATTAGACTGCGGCGGTGACCTTATAACCGGTACCGTAATAGACCGTCACACTTCACTGCTGTTAATTAACAGACAGCGTGACATCGGTGTTCTGAACGAATAGCGAGTATAATAGGAATGGAGCGGTGGTGCAGCGATTAGTGCTCTCCGCTATGAACCCCACCCACCCGAGTTAGATTCCCGACCATGGCTAACATTGGTGGCAAGAAATAACCAAACCATTCACCAACCCGCACTGTTCAGTTAGGTGAAATATGGTCAAGCAACCATCGTGACCGAAACGGCGTGGACAGGCCATCATCCAGCAGTGATTGACATGGAACTGTAAAATATTCCTTATTAATCTATCCAGTGTTGTACATGTGTGTGTGTGCAAACATGTCTAGGAGTGATAACATCCAGCAATGGATGCTTGAGGTCCTCACGTGGAGCCCCAGAACATCAATGCACTTATTTGATTAAATAATCAATACATGAATAATATACGACTTCAACTGACACCTGACATTAGGCTGCTCGTGACCTCGTGCCTCGTGTGCCGTGTATACACACACACACGTGCGTCGTGACACCTCAATGCCGTTAATGAACGGACGGTTTAAGCGCTGCACTTGATTATTAGCCAATTACAAGAGGGACCATTGATTTGTGAAGCTTCACAATCACCCCCCCATGTGCATCCGTAAATAAGTATAACCCGTAAAAACAAAATTTTTCACTATAAATCCTTTATATGTGTGGCAGCTAGAGTCCTCTCGTCCTCTGGCTTGAGATGGCTGCCACCTATGGGTCAGATGATTGTCTGCCAGTATTAAGCAATTGGTAATTAAATATTTAATTTGTTTTCCCTAAACAGTGTAACATTTTTGAAAAAAAATTTCACGAACATTAATTGTCTCGCACAACGAGGTCGTGTGCAAAATGTCAGCTCGATTGGATCACGGGAAGTGGGTTAAAAAACGACCGAAAGATTTGCACGATCGTAAGCAAGCAAGCAAGCACGCAAGCACGCAAGCAAGCAAGCGAACTTAGTATAAAGGATTTAAAAAGTAATGAAATCACGCCCTTCTCTTTCCGAATCGAGATGACGCACCGCCCCCTCCGCCGCTTGAAGATTTCACGACGCACACGCGCGCGCATCGTTGTGTGTACAAACACACAACAAACATATCTCCTCAGCCTTATCGAGGCCACCGACTCAAAAGAACTGAGCGCCGCGGTCATGTTGCTGTCCTTCAGAACCACAAACCCAAAAGCGTTGGGAAAATGTGGCCACCTTCTCTACCTCGTATCGCGTAGTTGAGCGGTGGTGCTTCCGATAAGTTCATCGTGAATTCATTTCAACTGAAGCTTCCTGGGCTGAGCTCTGGAAAATATCCTACTCCCCCTCCCCCCCCCCCCACCATGTAGTTGTTGGGGGGGGGGGGTCAGAGAGGTTTGGGGGGCCCTGGTAAGTATTTGATAATACATTAAGCCCTGACGCTATGACTGTGGCAGCCTGAGCTGGAATCCCAGCCACAGCTAACATCAGTGACGAGTGACATCTCAAACAGACCTGGGTGCCCCCCCCCCCCTCTCTCTTAGCCGTACTAACCCGCACTGACCAGGGTGGTGAAGTATGGTCAAACAACGCTCATGACTGAGCCGGCATGGGGGAAGCCCTCATCCGGCAGTGGGTTGCCTGTACATGACCATCACAGCAACACGTGAGATGGCAGGCATCATTCGACACGCCATTAATCCAAACCGTCCCAAAAACAATCTTGCCGAAAAGAAATCCACCCCCTGAGCCGCCACTCCTCCCTCGACTTTCACTGCAGCCACTGCGCAGTGCGACTTTGCACGTTTGCGTTTGTTGTGTTGTGTGTGTGTTGTGTGTGTGTTTGTGCGTGTGTTTGTTTGTGTGTGCGTTTGTGTGTGTGTTGTGTGTGTGTTTGTTTGTGTGTGTGCTTGTTTGTGTGTGTTGTGTGTGTTGTGTGTGTTGTGTGTGTGTTGTTTGTGTGTGTGTTGTTTGTGTGTTGTGTGTGTGTTGTGTGTGTTGTGTGTGTGTTGTGTGTGTGTTGTTTGTGTGTTGTGTGTGTTTGTGTGTGGGTTGTGTGTGTGTTTGTGTGTGTACCGTGCACGCGCCCCCCCTCCCCCCCAAGGACCCCTCACGGAGTCCCTTCACAACAACAACGCCGAATCCCTTCACCACAACAACAACAACGCCGAATCCCTTCACCACCACAACAACTCCGAGCCCCTTCACCACCACAACGGCTGCTAAAACAGGCGACGCGGGCATCACGATTCTAGAGTGGCGCCACGGCCTCGCCGTGCCACACCACGAGAGACTTTAAAACAACACGAAACCACGCGTGCCACCGCGCCCACGACGGTGCCTAATGGAGGGGTCTCCCCGAGTTTGAAGGGCTTTCATTTCGGAGGGTACCTTTCTTTCCCCCGGCTTCTGCTTCTGCTTAAGCCATCAATCGTTGCATGCCGATTAAACCTTCGGCTGTTTCCAAACAGCCTC